GCTTGGGCACTTGGTCTCTAAAAGGTTTGTCGTCACTGCCTTAAGGGAAAATGGGTGAAGATTATATAGGACCTCTCTACTGTGTTTACAAATTTTCTGTAACTAAACTCTTTCCAGATAGTCTCATTTCAATCCTTAGCCATTCCTTGTCTCCCTGGAGACAACCAAGGTCTCCTGCTGTGTCTTCCAGAGATATAAATAAAGACAGTCTCTCTTCTGCTTCAAAACAGTGCTGTGCACATACTATGCACACTACATACACCATTCTGCTTTTAGATCTTGCCCTGTTAGCACTATGCATGCAGCTTCTTTGGTCCTATTCTCAGATTTTCCCTATGATAAATAATGCTCCAGTGGAGATGGGTGTGCAAACGTCTCTTCAGATACAGGTTTCATTTCCTTTGGATATATATCCATTTCTAAATATAGAGGATTGCTAGGACTTATGGTAGTTGTATTTTAAATTTTTGAGGAATGTCCATACTATTTTCATGGTAGCTGTATCAATTTATATTCCTATCAGTAGTGTACTCAAAAGTTTCCTTTTGTGTAACAGAGTTCAAGGACAGCCTGAACTACATAGCAAGGCCCTATCTCCAACGTAATTTTTTTTTTAAATAAAGTTTTGGGTGTTTTGTTTTGTTTTGTTTTGTTTCTGAGACAGAGTCTTGCATATAGACCAGGCTGGTTGCAAACTCATGGCAATCCTTCTGCCTCAGCCTACTGAGTCCTGGGATTATGGGCCACCATAATCCTGTGCCACCATACCTGGCTCAAAGTAAAGCTTTAATGATTAGGATTTTGTACTTCTTTAAAACAAAGTTTTTAGTGTTTTCTCCCCTTCCCTTTTGCTATCATAAATAGAATCTTTTTTCCTTGATAATCATTTTACAGGTTGTTGCATATGTATGGAAGTTTAAATTTCATAATACTAATTTTTTAGCTAGCCACATTAACTAATTATTTTTCTTATATTTTTATTGCTCTTGCTTTTTCCAAATATATAACCATATCATCTGTAAATGATGTACTTACTTTTCAACTTTTATACTTGAAGCTATATACGGAAGTGTTACAGTAATGCTTTTATCTTGATAAGCACAGTGGGCCAGTGGTACAGAGCTACCATAGAGGGAAAACACTGGTAATCAGAGCCACTGAATGGTGTAACAAGTTAGGTTTTGTGTTTTTGCTTTTTCATGTGTCTTTCTTTTGTTTCCTCTAGATGTGAAATCCGGCAGCTATACAGTGTTACAAGTGGTGGAAGCCCTTGGGTAAGACACTCTGTTCTAGAATGTACTTCCTGCCTGACCAGAGAATCTGAAAAAGTTACTTTTGTGTCTTAATGCTTTCTTGAAACCTATCTCAGGCTAGGTCTCTTTTGAATTGTTCTAAAAAAAAGGGAGTTAATACTGCCTGACAAGCTTCTTTTAGGTAATATTTGGGAGGCACTGTTACCTCTAATTCAATCTGCAGGTTAGGGCTGAGGTAGGTGGTTGAAGGCCATCGACTTGATAAAGTAGAGCTAGGATTCCACTTGTGCTTCATTAGACCACCCAACCCATACAGGATTCTAATTGGCCCAAACCTGACTCAAAAGAGGTGTGGGCCCCAAGGTAGGAAGTAGCAAGGAGGCTAATCTTACTCCAGATCCCACTAAAAGAAGAGGCTTGGGGAAAGGGCTGAAAAGCAGCAATGTTAAAACTTTGGGGTCTAAGCATTAGTGAAAATATGTGCTTAGATTCTGAAGTCTGCTTTTCTCATAAATCATACTTAGCACCCCATTTAAATTGACAAGTCTTATTAGCAAAAGTTAACTGTCACAGCCAACATGCCTTCTAAAATTGAAAACTAGAAATTACATAAACTGAAATCACTGCTTTGTGTTTCTCCCACGTAACAGAACATTTGGCCTTTGTGTACATTTTCATAAGAGTTTATTAGAATAAAATTCATGTCCTCTAAAGCCCACTGTTTTAAAGTGTATATGGGCTGGGGATTTAGCTCAGTGGTGCGGCCCAGCACCTGCCTGGCAAGGGCAGCATCCTGAGTTCGATTCTCAGAACCAAATAAGTAAGCAGTATACTGCTGTAACTTCCTTTTTATTTTAAATACACAGTCTCACTGTGTAGTAGCTGGCCTTAAACTTGCGCCCAGGATGGCCTTGAACTTGGGATCATCCTGCCTCAGTGCTAGGATTCTAAGCTCATGCGTTAGCAGCTCATGGCTTCCAGTTGTGTCTTCACAGATTTGTACTTCCTCCTCATGATCAATTTTAGAACATCTTCTTTACTCCAAAAAAAACCTCATACTCCTTCACATGCATTCCCAGCCCCTGGAAATCTCTCTGGATTTGCCCATTTTAGAAATTTCATGTTCATAGAATCATACAATATCTGATCTTTGTGACTTTTCATTTATTAAGGATGTTGTCAAGGTTCATCCCTGTTATAGTGTGTATCGGTTCATTTCTTTGCTGTGTAGGATCCATTATACAGATGTGCAACATTCTGTTTAATTTTTCATCAGTTGTTGGACATCTGAGTTGTTCTATTATTTGGCTATTCTGAATGATAATATAATGAACGCTCATATACCAGGTTTATTTATAATGTGAATACATAGTGTCCTTCCTGAGCATAGTATTCTTCCATAGATTCCCTAGAGATGTGTCAGAAGTGGTCTTGTTTTTCCTCATTGCTCCTCATTATACATATACTTACCCTTGAGGTTTAAGGTAACTGGTGGCTAGAATACTCCAGAATTATTCTACTTCCTTCTTGTTCTGCTTATTTTACTTCTAGTACATTTAGATTACCTTTAGTATTAAGTATAATCTTTGTAGAAGTATTTTAAAGAAAAGTCATCTTATTTCTTCATTCTAGCTTTTCCCATATCAACAGTATTAAATGATTAAAACCTTTATTCTGGCCATCTCTGTAACCTAGTTTTAAAATTTTGGGTGTTTTGTGTTGTGCCACCCTATACACACCTTGGTGGTTGCACTCAGCATTTTTTTCCTTAGCAGTAATTTACAAAAATATATCTATTCTCATGTTTTGGTATGATCTGCAGTTACCAACCATCCATCAAGCCCTCTCATGGCTGCTAAGTTCTATTTCAGAGGAATGTCAGTCACAGTCATACCCCTGGAGAGAAAGTGCACAGTACCCGTCAGTTGCCAAGCTGGGGGTGTCTGGAGACAGGTGGCTGGGGAATCACAGGTGCCTCTAATGAAACCAGATCAGATTGAGTTAGTTTTTCTGGTGTTGGTCCTTACCTGTGTCTGTAATACACCTCAGGAACACCTTCTCTGGTGCTGTTTTTAACAGAGCTTGACTCTCAGGTACGCAGTGGGTGAGTGTGACTGATCACAAAGTATTTACTCCTCAGAGGTTTGAGCTGGTTAATGGCAAATTCCTCCCTCCTGCTGTCTTCTAGGTCCTCTCTGGAGAATCCAGAGCCCCAAACTCGGGCACGAGGTATCCAGCTTTTGTCACAGGTGTTACTCCAGTGTCACTCCTTGCTTCTGGAGAAAGAAGGTACTGGCATCGTAGTGGGAATGTCTTCCTAGATTGCTGAGCTAAGACATTCTGTGTCTATTCAAGCCAACTTTATCAAGAGAGGGGTCATAATGTATGAGCTAATTCAAGGTCTTTCTTCATTGGTGTGTGGGCAGACATGTTTAAAATTGAGATATAAGAAACATGGATTTTAAGTATAACCTTAGATAAGTTTTCAGTGTATTTTCCCTGCTTTATAAAATGGACAAAGTAACATTTCTAGATGAGAGAATTTTTGCCAGAATAAAGCTACATTTTTATTTATGTATAGTCTATGCTGCTTTTAGATTATAGTGGCAGATTTTGAGTAATCACCACAGAAATTATCCTATAAACCTATAATACTATCTGATTCTCTGAAAACATTTGCAGGCCCTGGGTTCAATCCCTAACATCACCAAAAAGGGAGGGAGCAAATATGATCAAAATATATTATATGTATTAAAACAGTTATTAAAAAAATATAAAAGAGCTGGGGCTGGGAATTTAGCTCAGTGATATAAGCGCCTGCCTTGCAAGTATGCGGTTGTGAGTTCAATCCCAAAGAGCTGAGGAGTACATGAAGCCTTAGGCTTAGGCCCCAACACCAAAAAATGAAATGTTTATAAACCCTCTGTTCATTTGTTTTGTTGGTTTTTTGTTTTTTTGTTTGTTTGTTTGTTTGTTTTCCTTTAAGAGTCTCACATGTAGTCCAGGCTCACCTTGAACTTGCTGTGTAGCCAGGCTGGCCTCAAACTCACAATCCTCCTGTCTCGGCCTCCCACTCATAGACCCTAGCTATATAGAACACAGTTAGGAGATAGAGAATGTGTTTTATTGTGGATCTGTGTAAGGATGGATAATCAAGAGGTTACCCCATTTTCCTGATTCACTTAGTCAAAACACCACCCATGGGAGGGCATGGGACACATTACTTGGTGAAAGAAGAGCCTTTAGACTTAGGGAAGGGGCAAAGCTAGGGGACCTTCCTTCTGCCTGCACAAACTGATGGCTGAATCTGATTTATACAGTGGTTCATCTGATCCTGTTCTATGAGAACCGGTTGAAGGACCATCATCTTGTGATCCCATCTGTCCTTCAGGGCTTGAGAGCACTTGTGAGTACTCCACTTCATTTCATAACCATGTTCGTGGGAGCCCTTGTTAGTTCCTTCCTTGCCCTTCGGGGGTGAGGCTTCACATGCTGAGGGACCGCAAGTGGGCCTAAATTAGTGTCAGCCAGGTATACTTCTTATTCTAGAGAATGAAAGAGTAGAACACAGCTGAGTTGGAAGGAACTACAGAGAACTACTGAGCTAGAGGAAGGTCTCACTGTTAGCCTTCTTCTAGAACCAAAATGTTATCATATTCACTGTAGCTAACTAGGCCTATTGTAGGGTTATTTCTTGGAAACTGAACTATAATTTCCTCAGTTTTCACATATTTTATTTTCCCTTTCCTCCAGAGCCTGTGTGTGACTATGCCACCAGGGCTGGCTGTCTCTGTGCTTAAAGCCATCTTCCAAGAAGTACATGTACAGGTAAGTGATAACAGTCATGTTAGTAGTCTCATCTATCTTCAACCCCTTGACATAACTAAAATTAGATGCCAAACATATGCCATCCTAAATTCTGAACTCCAGGTCTTATGACCATATTTATTAGTCCTTTCTATTAAATAAGGAAAGACAGGACTGCATGAAATTATATCTGACCTGGGTCCTCCTATATCTGAAGAGGCATGTATCAGATAGATTTAGGCAACTGATATCACTGCTGTGCTGCTAGGTCGGTAGCCATAGCCTTTTCTGAAGTTCCTCTCAGTTGATTTTATACTGGCATAAAGAGAATTTTCCACTTGCGAGATTATAAAATAGGAGGTTGTTGTATCAACTAAAATATCTCTGAACAGTTTCTTCCCTTATTTCCTTTTCTTCCTCATTCCCAAGTCTCTGCTGCAGGTAGACCGACATACAGTCTACAATATCATCATCAACTTCATGAGAACTCGAGAAGAAGGTAAACCATAGAGCTCTCTGGGAAATCTGCAAAGAAAATTAGTACGTGCTACTTTTCTTCCCCATTAGCAGGACCCATTGTAGCCTGGGAGTTATACAGAAGAGCTAATACTCTGAGACTGATAAAAGGAAGCTGGGGAGCTAGCCTTAAGTAATTAATGCTTACCACTATAATAATATATGTATATTGTTACACATCTCTTCTCTGAATACTTCACTGAGAGTAGGAAAACAAAAATAATATGCTCTGTGAGGCAAGAAAGGGGTGCCACATGAGTAGAACAACACCAGTCTCTTAGGAGAAAGCCCAGGCTTCTTTTCCCAAGGGACAGTAGTGACATTTTCTCTCCTTCCCAGAGCTAAAAGGTCTAGGAGCTGACTTCACATTTGGCTTCATCCAGGTGATGGATGGGGAAAAAGATCCCCGCAACCTCCTGGTGGCTTTCCGCATTGTTCATGACCTCATCTCCAGGGAGTATAGCCTGGGTATGTCCTTTTTTTTTGGTACTGGGGATCGAACAGCCTAGGTATGTCTTGATAGCTATGAATTAGCTACTTGAGGATTATTGGGTAAATGAAGCTGGTAAGTCAATCTCTTTTTTCTCTCTTGCGCCAGGACCTTTTGTGGAAGAGTTGTTTGAAGTGACATCCTGTTATTTCCCCATTGATTTTACTCCTGTAAGTAGCACCTTTCTTCTTTCATTTTTATTCATTAAGTACTTGTGGTATGCATACCCCTGTTTTAGGTATGAGGTTATAGGTAAGCAAGGTAGACAGTTCTCAGACTTACCTTTAACAGTCTCATAGATGGAGTGGGGCTGGGGATGTGGCTTTTTGGTAGAGTGGCTACTTAGCATGCACAAGGCCCAGGGTTCAATCCCAAGGGACACATACACACACACACACACACACACACACACACACACACACACACACATATACACATACAAAAGTAATAAAATTCTCAGAATTAAATTTTAGTGCATTAGGAAATAGAAAAGCATTTATTAGAAGAAGGATTCAACGGGGCTGGGGATTTAGCTCAGCGGCATAAGTGCCTGCCTTGCAAGCAGGCAGTCGTGAGTTCAATCCCTGGTACCGATAAAAAGGAAAAAGACAAAAAAAGAAGAAGAAGGATTCAAATGAACAGATATTTCAGGGGGCTCCTTAAATTCCTTAATAGTATACTTAGTGCTGAGACCTATAGGGTTATAAAATATGGTCCCTACCCTTGAAAGCTGAAACATTTAAGTAGTAGTAAGAGATTAGGTACCAAAATGAGTGGTGTTATAGTCCTGAGAAGACAGTTCAGTACAAGCTAGAGTAGCAGTAGCTAACCTCACAGATAAGCTAGTATTTTGGTTGGTTTCAGAGCCAATGCATGGGATATGTTTCTGGAGTTGGAAAGGACAACTCAGGCAATAGAAACAAACTGACAGAACAGGAGAAGGCATTGTTAAGCAGTTATGTTCAGGGCCTGTTTGCTTTGGCTCTCCTAGACCTTTCTCCTACTCTGCATTTGATTTCTTTCCTACTTCCAAATAGGATCTCATCACTGTGGCTGTGGGTATTGTGAGCATCAGTAATGTGAAGAAAATGAAAGTTCTCCTGCAGCACACCAAACATTTTAAAGTGCCACAGCTGTCTTTGCTATATAAATTATAGTATTTCAGTTCACAAACTTTCCATAATTCTGGGCAAACTGAACTGGACAAAAACTGAATCATATTTCCTCATAGTTCAGCATTGAACCTAACTATAGAATTTGATTCACTTCTCGTCTAACTTGGTTTGTGACCAGAATCTTGGAAAGAACCAAGTTTGTGAAGCCAGGCATGGTGGTAAATATCTGTGATCCCAGCACTCCAGAGGCTGAAGCAGGAGGATCACTGCTAGTTTGAGGCCAACATGGGCTATATAGTAAGTTCAAGAGCAGCCTGAATTACACGATGAGACCCTATCTCAAAAAAAAAAAAAAAAAACAAATTCATGAACCAAGTTACCACTGTATTTACCAGTTTATTGCATTTGGTATCACATTGCTTGGAAATACCTATCTCTTGAAATTCTTTTTTATTTTCATAATCACTAACCTTTATAACCCAGAACTTGTGCCTTTGAAATGCTGAAAGATTCTGGGTTGGCTACCAGGTTTTTCTATTTTGGGTTTGGTTTGTTTTTCTAAAAAATGATAATGTTCACATAATTCAGAGTTAAGCCTGGCAAGCATGAGGCCCTCAGTTTGATTCCTGTACCAAAATAACTAATCATAATAATAACAAAAACAATTCAAGTACAGGAGGTTGAAATTTTTTCCTACTGTCACATTTCTCTTCATAGTAAACCAATTGTATTAGTTTTGTCTATATCTTTACAGAACTTTTTCTTATGTAAGCAGATTTTACCCCCCTTTCCATGGTAGCATATACAAATAAACACATTTCTTATGATTTGCTTTTTTTCACTTATCAGTATATGTGTATCTTGCAGAGTTCCTTATCAGTATGTAAATTAACTTTCTTGTTCTTTATGGCTGCATAGTATCCCTTTTGTAGAAGTATCTAATTTTCTTGTTCTCTATTGGGTAAAGGTTGTTGTTAATCTTGTGCTGTTACAAGCAATACTGCAATTTATGTATACATGGGTGTAACAAGATTCCTAGAGGTGAAATTGCTAAGACAAAGAATATGTTTATTTATAATTTGAAGAAAGAATATCTTATACATTTTCTTGAAAGGTAATAAAATGAGAGGAATTCAGCATTTAAAGGCAGGAAATTAAGCTTTTTTCATATCCCTTTGCTACCACATTTATTTTCATTTAGAAATAATCTCTAGGGGCTGAGGATTTAGCTCAGCGGCATAAGCGCCTGCCTTGCAAGCAGGCAGTCGTGAGTTCGATCCCTGGTACCGATAAAAAGGAAAAAGCCAAAAAAAAAAAAAGAAAAGAAAAGAAATAATCTCTAGGGCCTGGGGATTTAGCTCAGTGGCATAAGCACCTGCCTTGCAAGCAGGCAGTCGTGAGTTCGATCCCCAGTACCGATAAAAAGGAAAAAGACAAAAAAAAAAATCTCTATTCCCAGCTGTTTTATGTGTTTTCCCAAGGATATTCTAGGTAAAATAAACATACCGATAATTGTGAAGTTTTCTTAATCAAGACAAGACTGTTTTTTCTGTACTCATGCTTTGAATTTTTAAGAGCTAATCAGCTGTGGTGGTACCTATCCGGTATACCGATAGTACCAGCACTTGGGAGGCTGAGGCAGGGGGACTTCTACGAGTTCTCGGCAGCCTGGGCTATATAGTGAGTTCAAGGCCAACCTCAACTACACAGAGAGACTCTGTCTTAAAAACAATAATTAAAAAATTAAAACCAAAAAGTTTCCAAGAGCTTTTCATTGTTACTAATCTCTGAACTTTTTAATAGCATTCTATTCTTACTTAATTCATGGGTAGATTTCTTTTTCCTCTTCGGTCTCTCTGTCTGTCTGTCTCTCCCTCTCTTGTTTGTTTTTTGGGAGAGAGTCTCCTTATGTAACTCAGGCTGGCCTTGAATTTACTGTGCAGCCCAGGCTGGCCTCGAACTCGTGGTGAGCCAAGGATTACAGGTGTGCACCAGCACAGCTGACTCCAAAGCATTTTGAGGACTGCAGTATATGTATATGATATGTATCCAGCCTTCCCCAAGTCTGCCTAAAATTCTTTCATGTTGGGTCTGTTGAGTCATTTTCTTCTTAGCAAGCTGCTTTGCTTTTCAGCTTCTAAAATTTTGTCACTAGTACTCTTACTCTGTTCTTCGACTTGTAATTTTATCATTAAAAAAAGAAAATCCCTACATTAAATTCAGTTGTCAAGAAAGAAAAGGAAAATCTGATTCATGTTTTTAATTTTTACAAATTAACTATCAATCCCTTTCATGTCATTTACACCTTTTTACATGTGTTAAAAAAAATAGAAATATCTAGCAAAGAATTATTTAAATAATCTGGCTGAAACAATAAAAACTAAAACTGGCGTTATAGAAGAATAATACATTTTTAAATCTTCTTAATATATAAAGTATAAAAATAAATTACGGATCATACATACAAAGCAAACATACACACAGAGAAGAAAGCAGTACACCAGAAAGTTAGGGTGCTTAACTCTAAGTAGTAAAACAATAAATCAAATAGGAAGTGTGTGATGAGATTGAAAACTAATGGCCTAAGAGACAAAATTTTCACAGAACACAGAAGAGCAAGCTTGTCTCCTTCCTTGGGTCTCATATCATACTATTGTACTAGATTGGGTACATATGTCACCCCATTCTACAGAATTGCCAGGTTCAAGCCTGGGCCCAAGGGTGGTCTGAAAAGTTACATAAATCCGTGGCCCTTCTTCCTTTCCAGCCTCCAAATGATCCCCATGGTATCCAGAGAGACGATCTTATCCTGAGTCTACGAGTGGTGCTGGCTTCTACACCACAGTTTGCTGAGGTAGGTGTATCCAGTGTTAGGGTAAATAGTGTCTTCGCAGAGAAAGCTCTGAAGAAAGAACAGTAAAGCTTTGGAAGAAAGAAAATCAAGTGTACATTTTAGAGTTATGACACCCCTAAGTCATCTTGTATGGCAAGTTTCTTAGATTTTTGATATAGAAAACTCTTACCACTTCATCTTAAAGTAAGTCCCATCCTAGATGGCGCTATCTTTTGAAATCTAGCCTTGCCAACTTGCCCATTTTTAAATAATGAGGGCTGTGGTCAGAGGTAAGGAGGAAAGTTAGCTTATAATCACAATTCTTAACAAGTATGGTTCCTTTATATATATATATATAGCACCTATTCTTTGAGACTGGTGGCAGTAAGGGCTGAGTGATGATGGCATAGCTCAGACCCTACCTTATCTCAGGTTTAAGTTTCTTCTTCTTTCCCACAGTTCCTACTGCCCCTATTGATTGAGAAAGTAGATTCTGAGATTTTGAGTGCCAAGCTGGATTCTCTGCAGACTCTGGTGAGTGATATTTTTTCTCCTTGCAGGATGAAACTACCTTTAGACAAGTTAGAAGTACTAAAAGATACAGTCTTGCACAGCAGAAAGCTGTCTGTGAGTCTCAAGAGGAACCAAAATTTGGACCTGTGTGTTGACCTAAAGCCCCAGCTGCAGGTGGTCTTGTCCCATAGTAACAGTGGTAACTGAGGAAAGGCTGGCTAGCTCTCCTCTTTATACTTCTTTATCATGAGAGTGAGGTCTTATTTTTCTGTGCCCCAGGTAAGACTGTGTGACATCCTGCTGGCTTTTCTGCTGAGAGCCAGGCAACTTTAGGTATCTTTATGCTGCGGTACCTCCCTATAGGGTATAGCTAGCTGATGTTTGCTGTCATCTTGGCAGAATGCTTGCTGTGCTATATATGGGCAAAAGGAACTGAAGGACTTCCTTCCCAGCCTTTGGGCTTCTATCCGCAGAGAGGTGAGTATTACTGAGATAAACTCACTCCTGTTAACTCCCGTTAGTCTGGCATAAGGGGAAATGATGCACCCTGTTTTCTTCCCTGTTGTTCCTAGGATCGGGGTGCTGTGCTTCATTATTCAGTTGGCACATAAGAGGACATATTTCCAATTTAATGACAAGTGATACAGTTTCAGGGTGTGGGCCAGCTGCTTGGTGAGACCATAGTGATCACCTTTGCCTGGTGTCCACTTCCTGTACTTCCATGGCAAGGAACATGGCTCATGGTGTGGGCACCATACTAAATAGAGAAGAAAGCAATTTAGGGTAGGAGATAACAGCAGCTGCTGCTCAGAGTTGACATACTGTTTCTCAGAAATTATGTCTTACTTGAGAGCTGAGGAATTGGTGTGGATAACCAGTGGAGAAGACCCTGGGTCAGGAATTGATTTCTATTGTTGTTCCCTAAAAGTTATGAACTGCTGAGTATAGTGGCAATCCCGGCACTGTGGGAGGTTAGGCAGGAGGATCACAAATTCAAGCTTAGCTTTGGCAACTTAATGGCTCAATGAGATCCTATCTCAAAATAAGAAGAAAAAAAAGAACAGGATATACTTCAGTGCAGAGGCCATGAGTTTAGTTCCAAGTACCACAAGCACTCCTCCCTGAGGAAACAGGCACTGGACGGGTGGGACTTCTCTGGTGCAGGCTCACCTCAGTAGCCATGGGATCCCTCTGACAGGTGTTCCAGACGGCCAGCGAGCAGGTGGAGGCAGAAGGCCTGGCAGCCCTGCACTCCCTGACTGCGTGTTTGTCCCGATCTGTGCTGAGCGCTGATGCCGAGGACCTTCTTGACCCCTTCCTTAGCAACATTCTACAAGGTAATGGAACTGTGGCAGCCACAAAGGGGAATGAGCACAAGAGAGATGATACTCCTCAGGGGGATGGCCCTTCATATGTTCAGCGACTGGGGGCTGCAGCTCTGCTTTGCAGACAGTTTGAGTAGTAACTGCTGCTCAGCTGTTCTAACCTTTGTGGACTGTCAGGGAGTCAGGCAACATTTGGCCTGCTCCCCAGGTCTGTGATTGCTGCCTTTCTAGACTGCAGGCACCATCTGTGTGAGCCGGACATGAAACTGGTGTGGCCTAGTGCCAAGCTGTTGCAGGCAGCTGCAGGTGCATCTGCCCGGGCCTGTGACCACATTACCAGCCACGTTCTGCCTTTACTGCTGGAGCAGTTTCACAAGCATAGTCAGGTAAAGAAGCACAGTCTTGGTGGACAACAGTGGGCCCTGAATGCTGGGATCCATTTCTTAGGATAGAGGCTAAAGCTTTAGCTTGGGCCCAGGTGGATCTGGAGTTCCACTGTCATTCACTGCTGCTTGTTTCCATATTCACTCTTCCCTGGACTGAGGGGAATTATCCCATAAGAGGATAATTCTCACCAGCTCCAGAGTAGCAGAGTTGAAATCCTTTAAAATAGTCTTTGACTTTAGTACCCCTTGAAACATTACAGAGCAACCAGCGGCGGACAATCCTTGAAATGATCCTGGGTTTCTTGAAACTGCAGAAGTGGAGCTATGATGATAAAGGTGAGGTCACCTTCCCATTTAGACATCCTGAACGCGGTTGAGTCCTGTGGACCTTAAAAGATAGCAAGACAAGAACAGTAGCCTAAAATAGTGGTCCTCTTGTCCCAGAGGTATAGCAAAAGAGCACTAAATGGATGAGACCTCTTCCATATTTGTAGTGTTTCTGGATACCCAGTGGACCAAGCTCTTAAAATCTACCCTAGTCATCTCTGCAGCACTGCTAAGTCAGGGATATGAAACATAAAGGTGCTGGGGATGGTGGTGCACACCTATAATCCCAGCACTTGAGAGGCTGAGGCAGGAAGATTACTGTGAATTCGAAGCCAGGAATAGACCATGTCTTAAAAAAAATTAAAAAAGGCTTCCTTATAATCTGGCTTCTGTCTCTCCCTAGATGAAAGGCCTCTGTGTGGCTTCAAGGACCAGCTGTGTTTATTGGTCTTCATGGCTCTAGCAGACTCCAGTGCCCAGCTTCAGCTTGTTGGCATCCGAGCACTCACAGTCTTGGGTGCCCAGCCAGGTACATCTTAAGGGAAAGAGAAAAGATTTGTTCCTTCCTTACAGTTTTCTATATTAAGAAAACTATAATGCTGGGATTTCTGTTAGTAGTTTTGGCAAGGTTGTAATGGCTGCAGAAGAAGAAAAATGACATTTGTGTTCCCTTCTTCCCAGATTTCCTATCTTCTGAGGACTTGGAGCAGACAGTGGATCACCTGTATAGACTGAGCTTCTTGGAGGAGGATTCCCAGCGTTGGTGAGACTCTAAGTCAGGGAGGTAGTACCAGCTATTCCCTGTCTCTGTGTTGACAGCAACAGATGCAGCAAGGACCAAAGGCTCTGTGGTACTGACCCTGCGTCTGTTGTGGGAGCTAACCAATGGGTAGATGTGGGACTGCTTTCTCTTCTTGGGTGTTAAGAAGCCCTGTCCAACTTAGTAGTGTGGGTATTTGAGTCCTGTTCTTTAGCAAAGTGACCTTGAGTGCCCCTACTCCTGGATCTGCCTGATGGCAGTCCTCAGCAAGAAAATGGTGGGCCCATTCAACTGATGCTGATGTTCATCTGCTCTGTGCCCCAGCAGGGTAGCAGCACTGGAAGCATCAGGAGCCCTGGCCACCCTCTACCCTGGGGCCTTCAGCAACCATCTAATACCCAAGCTTGCTGAGGAGCTGCACAGAGGTATATGTGACTAATAATCTTATGTATCCCAGGCCACTCCAGCAAGGCTTGGGGCCCTTCATGCTTGCTATCCCAAAGTGAAACAGTGTCTCTCTGGTTGCTCTCAGGGGAGTCTGACTTTGCTAGAGGGGATGGGTCACCCAAGTGCTCACCGCATTTGCGCTGTCTGCAAGCTTTGTCAGCTGTTTCAACAAATCCCAGCATCGTCAAGGAGACGCTGCCTCTGCTGCTGGAGCATCTTGGGAGGATAAATAAAGGTAACTACGTGGAAGAATCATCACATAGCTTGGCTGAACAAGGAACTACAGCCAGCTTGGAGTTGACACCTCTAAGAAGTGGTTTTTTTGCAGCTGTACATCATCTATCACCTCAGATGCTTATTTCTTTTGGGGGGAACTTTCAAAGTCCTGTCTACTACCTGTTTTGAAAGACTCATTTAGTGAGGGCCTGAATTTGATCCCTAGCAGGAAAAAGGAAAAAAAGACATCTGGCCGAGGATTTAGCTCAGTGGTGTAAGCGCCTGCCTGGCAAGCACAAGTTCGATCCCCAGTACCAAAAAAAAAAAGAAGAAGAAAGAAAAAAGAAAAGAAAACCATTCAGTTCATTGTTATCAACCACAGTTACCCTACTGTGATATTAACACTAGAAGTTAGTCCTCCTACCCAGAAGCCCCCTGTACTTGTTAGTAATCCTGTCTCCATTCCCTACTCCATACCCCTTTCAGTCTCTGGTAAGCATTATATCAATAACACAGTATTTGCCTTTCTGTGAACATTGTAAACACGGAAGAAAAAGAAATGTACGGATGCCTAGGGCTTAGTTCTGTTGTATTAATCTGTGAAGAGGGTGGGGATTTACACAGTAATTATGGAGAGTACCCTGCTGGTTTTTACATAGCATCAAAATTAAGATGCACTGCTATAAAATATGGTACTCAAAATACAGTCCATCTTAAAGAGAACACTGACTTTCTTACCACACAGGCAATGTGGTTACAGGACCCAGTGACATTATTGCCGTCTGTCAGAGTCTCCAGCAGGTGGCAGAAAAATGCCAGCAGGACCCTGAGAGCTACTGGTATTTCCATCAGACAGCTGTACCTTGCTTGTTTGCCTTGGCTGTACAGGCTTCCATGCCAGGTAACTTTCTAGACTTCATTCATCCTCTCAGAATTCTGCCTTCTGCTGTTATTGGACAGCACTGCCACCCCTGGGTACTGGTGGTACTAACATTTTGTACCATCAGTGTTTGTGTCCTTTGTCCCTACAAACGTGATTCTACTTCAGGACCAAAAGTGCCAACATGAACAATGACAAGAACCAAAATCCAGTAGCTAGCAACATTCAAAAAATATGCAAACCTTTTTTCCCTTTGATTGCTATGTTACAACTGGGCTTTGCAGCCAAGCAGTCTTGGTTGGGTTTCATTGTAAGTTTGCTATCTTGGGTGAAGATACCCAGTCTTTCTCAGCCTTAGTTCCCTCACTTATAAAATGAAGATAAAGAGTGATATCTAGGGGCTGGGGATTTAACTCAGTGGCATAAGCACCTGCCTTGTAAGCAGGCAGTTGTGAGTTCGATCCCTGGTACCGGTAAAAATGAAAAAGACAAAAAAAAAAAAAAAAAAAGAGTGATATCTACAGCAAACATGATGGCACATATCTGTAATCCCAGCACTCTGCAGAACTGAGGCAAGAGGATCAATAGTTTGAGCCAGCCTAGGTACCTCTGTAAGAGCCAAAATAAGAGCTGGGGTGTAGCTCCATGAAGGCCCTAGGTTCAGTTTCCACAAGGGGGCGGGGGGCAAGTGGCAACATAGTCATGTCTGTATCATAGAATAGTTGGTAGGAATTAAGGTAATTGGTTGTATCCGGCCACACCATGCCAAGTATATGACAGTCACTATAAAGAAGGGCCCAAAAGCCAGGGGATATAGCTCAATGACACAAGCACCTGCCTGGCAAGCATGAGGTGGTAAGTTCAATCCCTGGTACCAAAAAAAAAAAAAAAAAAAAAAAAAGACCCATAGAGGTAAATCTGAGCTTTCTTAAAATTCTCCAAAGGTCAGAATTTCAAATTCCAATCATGGAACATTTGTATCAGCCTACCTTAAGGATTTTGCAGTGTTTCCAGAGCTTCCATGGTCCCACTTTGTTCAGATCACTGCTGTTTCTTAAGACCACAGAACTGCTAAGGACATATTTAAGAGCTGTTTTAGCTAGAGGCAAACCCATCATGATGAGAGGAACTGACTGTTTGAATCTGAACCATCGTCTTGGCCTTATGGTTATAGGTGAGGATGTGTGTTGGTGTTTTGTTTCCACAGAGAAGGAGCCCTCAGTTTTGAGAGAAGTGCTATTGGAAGATGAGGTCTTGGCTGCCATGGTGTCTGTCATTGGTACTGCCACTACTCACTTGAGCCCTGAGTGAGTGTAACTGTGGGTGTGGCTTACAGCTAGGGAGGACTCTGCAATCTCCAGAAGCAACAGATAGTTGTCTCATCAGCTCTCCTTGTACCTGAGCATAAGTATGGAGGTAGTCATTCAAGTTTGACTATCAAGCCAAAAAGAGGGGATTTTAACACCATGGGGTGGTTGGACCATTGGCCAGTATTTTTTAGCTGCAGAATTACCTATGGAGCATTAAAAAAATATATGCAGCCCTCACTAGGTTCCTCACTAGGTTGTAAAAAGCTCTAAGAGAGTACCAATTTGATCTGTCTGTTCACTGTGCTATACAAAAGTCTAGAATGAGGGAGGTTCCAGGCACATAATACTTGTTGAATGTGTGAATAAATGATCATGGCCTGTACTATTGGCCCAGTAGCCCTAATGAGAACCTTGGATGAAAGGGCGGGTTGCCATACAATCCTCTCTGATAACACCGAATTCTCTGTCCCCAGGTTAGCAGCCCAGAGTGTCACCCACATAGTGTCCCTCTTCTTAGATGGCAACACCTCCTTTCTGCCTGAAAACAGCTTCCCAAGCAGATTCCAGCCATTCCAGGTGACAGACTGGTGAATGAGATTGAAAAGAATCTTGGAATTTATTCTTCAAACATTTTTCAAGCCCTAGTTTAGGAGTTATGGAGACAGACAAATCTACTACAGGTTCTGCTTAATGGGAACTCTTACTCCTTTACAGGATGGCTCCTCAGGCCAGAGGCGGCTGGTTGCATTGCTTATGGCTTTTGTGTGTTCCCTGCCTCAGAATGTAAGTCAGCACATTTAGGGAGTTGGATCTCGGGTGATCTCTAGGCTGAAATTTGCCCAGCCAAACTAATACTTAATCTTAGTGGAGTAGTTCTCATCTACTCTCACCCCTGCTGCCACTTTCTACTGGGATTCTCTCGGAATTCAAGTATTTTCTGAGTCCATTACATGGCCAGGTTTTCTGTAGGTGGAAATCCCTCGGCTGAACCAGCTCATGCGAGAGCTTCTGGAGTTAAGCTGCTGCCGTAGCTGTCCCTTCTCCTCCAACGCTGCTGCGAAGTGTTTTGCAGGACTCCTCAACAAGCATCCTGCAGGTACTGGGAAAACTTGGGTTGGTCTCTTCACATCACCTGCCAGAAGAATCTTCAAGTTCATTCCTCATTCTTTTTTAAAAAGGAGGATTTCTACTAACATAGTAGGACTTCACCTGCTCAGACCCTGTCTTTGGACAGTCTTTGGAACAAGAATCAAAACTAGAATTGGGCAAAACATTATAGGGGCTTAAAACGAAAAAAAGCTTTTCAAGGCCTAAACAGTAGCCAGGTCACAGGTGAGTCTTCAGTGAGATTAGCAACCCAGTCTACTTACTAGGCTTTCACACTGGTGTTGAGTCATTTTATCCAGACAAAATGATACTGCCTTTTTCTAATAGTCTCTAGGGTACTCTGCACGTAAAGGGTTTCCATCATAGGTCATTAAAAGAAAAAATGAGTTGCTACTGCATCAGCATGTCCCCTTTCTCAGGGCAGCAGCTGGATGAATTCCTGCAGTTGGCTGTGGATACGGTGGAAGCTGGACTGGGCTCTGGGCCCACTCGTCATCAGGCCTTCACACTGCTGCTCTGGGTAAGGAGGGGAAGTAGATTCTGACTAGAACCAACAATTGTGACTAAGTAAAATATCCCAATTTGACCCTGAGCCATAAGCAGCTGTATCTCAGGGTTCTGGGGTTTAAATATGGGGCCCCAGCTTCTCTTTCTGTCTCTCTCACTGTAGGTAACAAAGGCTCTAGTACTCAGATACCATCCTCACAGCTCCTCCCTTACAACTCAGGTAAGTGCTTTCTAGGAGACAGAACTTTATGTTGACTCCCCTGCTCCCAGAAATGACTTCCATCCTCATTTTTAAGATTGTTCTCTAGTGATGTACATGACAGGCTTTCTTCTTTGCAGCTCATGGGCCTCCTGAGTGACCCAGAGTTAGGTCCAGCAGCAGCTGATGGCTTTTCTCTGCTCATGTCTGACTGCACTGATGTGCTGACTCGCGCTGGCCACGCTGAAGTGCGGATCATGTTTCGCCAGCGGTTCTTCACAGACAATGTGCCTGCTCTGGTCCAGGGCTTCCATGCTGCTCCCCAAGGTAGGAGAGTCTGAAAGAAGGGTTCCAGATACATAGACCTCTCCTTCTCTTGGCCAGTCCCTAAAGTAATTTGGGATCCCACTGATACTTTAGAACTGTATTGTGGTGCAGGCTATGTGTGGTAGTGTACACTTGTAATCCCAGCACTTGGGAGGCTCAGGCAGGATTTACTGTGATGAGTTTGAGGCCAACATGGGCTACAAAGTGAGGTGAAAACCAGCCTGTCAGAAAAAGATTACCAATAGAGGGGAACAAAACCCCAGAGCTGTAACTGTAGAGTGTACCTAGAAAGTTAATAGGGATATAACTTGCCTATTCTTAATTCCAGGAACTTTTTTTTCTCACTACTTTTTATAGGCTAATAATCCCAGCAGACAGATACTGAACTCTCAAGCAGAATGTCAGTAGAAACTCGATTTCTCCACTAAGCTTCTCCCTTTTTTACAGATGTGAAGCCAAACTACCTGAAGGGTCTGTCTCATGTACTTCACAGGCTGCCCAAGCCTGTGCTCTTGCCAGAGCTGCCCACAGTAAGTTGTGTAGTCAGCCTCCAGGCTAGGGATAAAATTATTCCTCTAGCAGAAGGACAGTAGCATCTCAGTATAATCATCCTTCCCTTTCCTGTTGCCACTTAGCTTCTTTCCCTGCTGCTAGAGGCCCTGTCCTGCTCTGACTCTGTGGTTCAGCTCTGTACCCTCAGCTGCCTTCAGCCTCTTCTACTGGAAGCACCTCAAGTCATGAGTCTTCATGTTGACACGCTGGTCACCAAGTTTCTGAACCTCAGCTCCAGCCCTTCCATGGTGCGTTGAACATCAGCACATCTTTGGCCCCTCATTTCTCTCTCTCAGTTCTTCCCTCACCTCCTTCTGGTTGTTGTAGGCTGTCCGGATCGGTGCACTGCAGTGTATGCATGCTCTCACTCGCCTGCCCACTCCTGTGGTGAGTACCTGGGCCATCCTCCCTGGACAGGGAACCTCTTAGAAAAGCCAAAGAAGTACTTACTGTTTTCATCAAGTGGGATTAGCCTCCCTGCACTGTAACTGAGAAACCAACTACAAGCTATAGTAGGCACGGGGTTCTCCCCACTCTTGGGGTTAGAATGAACCTAGTAAATCCTGGCCATCCTCTAATAGAATAGCCATCCTACCACTTGGTTTCCTCTGGAAGCTCTAAAGTATAAGAGACATTGCATGTGCTTACCATGCTCTAGGCTCTGATTCAATTTGCAGCGCACACACACAAAAAAAATAGAACACATTTTGCTTTGTTCCAAATATTAGTTGTACAGAGCCAAAGAAGCAGCAGTCCTGGTTGCCATGGTTGAACAAGGTTAAGACTTTCTCCTCTGACTCCATAGTTGCTGCCATATAAACCACAGGTGATCCGGGCATTAGCCAAGCCACTGGATGACAAGAAGAGACTGGTGCGTAAGGAAGCAGTGTCAGCCAGGGGAGAGTGGTAAGTTTTCGGGCATGGGAAGGGATGGGACAGGGTCAAGCCTCGCCGATAATGCTGCCAAAATCTTTTCCGCCTGCAGGTTTTTGCTAGGGAGCCCCGGCAGCTGAGCCCTTGATCTTGACGTGTCTCGTCTGACAGACAATCTAACCTGAAGAAACTCCTGACTTTGAGCCATCTTGCCCATAGCTGGGAGACCATTGGCTTCTGCCTGCCTTTCCCACAGCGACAGTCCAAGTACTGGGCTTACGTTGCATGGCTGTAGAAAAACATCAGAGTCCTGATTTCTAAAGGATTTATGAAGTAATTAAGCAAGACTATTTGTGTTTGAAGAAAGATCTTGGATCTTTTATCGGGTGAAGGGAGCTCTGCTACTGAGGGATGAATGCAGATAAGTGTGGCCCTGAGGACCAGGAATGATAACTGTCTACCTAATGGAGAATAAAGACTTCTTTGGGTAACAGGACTGACTGTCAAATAACAGCCTCAGAAGTACACAGCTGAGGCATCACTGCCCTGAACTTGAGGACTGGCAATGTTAGGGATGAGGAGGACTCAGGACAAGGAGATACTACCAGGACCTCACTAGGCTTTGACCCCGGCTTCTTTTTCCTTCCCCTACAGTAGGGCAAAGAGTGAGACACTACATATCTTTACAAATTGGTTGCCTTTATTTTTGCTCCCTTCAGTAGTATGTGAGAAACGGCAGTGACCTCAGGTGTTCTCCCAGACAGCAAATGGAAAAAGATGACTAGCCCCAGTGCTGTATCTGGAGGGTGGGGTAGCTTAGCTGCCTGGCCCCTAGTCTGGGGCTGGAACTTCTGTTTGCCTGAGTAAAGGACATCTGTCCTAGGATTTGTCCACACTGTGTCTTGCTTCTGCAGTGAGCAGAAGGTTGGTCCTTGAGTTGTCCATACATAGTACCCCAGGGCAGGCCCACTGGCTCTGATCAAGAGTTGATAGAAAAGCTGCCTTTGGGGGCCCTTGAGACACTGTAGACAACAGAACAAATACTTAAGCTGTCACTGACACAGTCCAGTTCACACTGCCATCACAGAGGCCGAGTGCGCAGTCACCCAGGGAGGGGGCTCCCAGCTCATTCCATTCCCATGGGGCAGGTGACTAGAAGGTAACAGCACCCGAGTAAGCCAGTGCCTACAAAAGAAGACAGATAGTTCTCTGAGTTCAAAGTCCTTAGCTGTCCTTTGTGTTTATTCTATAGCAAACATATATCAAGCACCAAAGTAGCAAGAGTTCTATCTTTTCTCCAGCTGTGTCTAATAAATGCCCTCTGAAACCTTAAAGTCCTTTTGGAAATTTTGTGCTACAAGCACAGTGGTAGGCAGGAGGAGCATAATGAGAGTAGGGCAGGAAGAAGGAAAGAAAGTACTTACATTCATCTGGTGTTAACTGCCTCAGTCATTGCAACTTGAGAAATGACTTTCCCTTATCTCTCGGGCTCAAAGAGCTAGCCTCATTTGCTGCCTTTAAAGACCTCTATCACAAGTAGACCTCAGCCTCATCTATTACTGGCTTGAACTCCAGACACTGCCATGCAAGTGAGAGGCAATTGATGACCACAGCATCCTACCAAAATGGCCCTTCTGAGAACAGTTATCTCAGGATTCCACTATAGTCAGCTTCAAGCTTTAAGCCTCTTTGGTTCAAGTGAAAGCAATGATTTCTATTCCTAGACTCCAGAACTGCACAGACAAGAGCCACTAACTACATGTGACTTTAACCTGGTAGAAATGAAACTCCCTTAAGACCTCATCAGTAAGCTGGTATGGTGGTGGGAGTGCTGTACTCCAGCACTCCAGGAGGCTTAGGCAGAAGGGCCACAAGCTCAAGCCCAGCCTGGGCAACTTAGCAAAACCCTGTCTCTAAATAAAAAGCAGCTGAGGATATAGCTCTGCACAGAGGTCGAGGGTTCAGTCCCCAGTGTGGGCAGAAGGGGCAGGGGCACCTATCAGTGCACCAGCCACATTCCAAGTACATGGTTCTCCCAGGTACAGACTTTTCCTCATCACCGAGTTCTGTTGGACAGTAGTAGTCTGTCTTACTTTACCTTCCTGTGTCCACACCCAGGAATACCTTCCAGTTGTCCAAGCAGCCATAGTTGTAAGGATTTCTAAATACCTAGGGCCAAGAAAAACACACAGTTCTACAAACGTCTACTTAATCCCCTTCTCATTTTTGAAACTGATGGGTACGCTACAGCTCAGGTAGGCAGTTCTGGTCTTTGGGTACCTATCTAGACAACCCCAACCATGGCCTGTGTTTACAGGACTCAAGTTCAGCTACCCATCTGCCCACCTGAGCCCGACTACTCACTCTGCCCTTCTCCTGCAGTCGACGTCGCTCCTTCTTGTTAATGTGTCTTTCAATGCTAGTCTCACCCCGACTGATGAGAACAGCATGCCATGCTGTTAGGGCACCCAAGGCCAGTGCCACAGAACTAAGAAGAGAGAGACGGGGACCAGTGGGAGTAAGAAGGCTGGACACTGAGCAGTAACAGCTGGCTGGCAATCTCTGCCTCATTGTCACATCTGGCATACATCCTAGACAGAAGTCATGCTTCAGCTGCATTTGAAAATGCATCAGTGGAAACAAAGTGGACTGAAAATGAGGTATGTGGAAAGGACAGTAGGGAAATAAAGATATTACTGAGAAAAAATGTGCACTATTTCCTAAAATATCAGTGCTACAAGGCAGTGGAAGGCAGTAAAAGCACTGGGGGTCAAATTGGGATGATAACGTCACGTCCCATCCTTAGCAGTGCTAGCTATGCATCATGGGATAACTTACTTTATTCCACTGGTTTTCAATTTTCCTCATCTATAAATGTACTCACTACCCTTTAGGAAGGTCCTATGAACAGTTAGTGTTTAAGTTACCTTGGTACATAAAGCATGTCTGCATCCTTAGTGCTTAGTAACCAGAAATAATGCTAGTATCCTTCTTGTTCCCTGCCCCAAAATGCCAAAGTGGTGACTGCCACCTCAGTGAGGGCAGCAGAATAGTGGCAAGTCACTTGGATGGATTTCTGCCTGCATATGGGTATCTAAAAGGTATTCCTGAAAGTGCCTCTCCCTCAAAACTACCAAAACCAAAGTTCATACCTGCACAGGAACCAGAGGTAGACAAGACTCTTGTGAGTTACCCTTTCACGAAAGGAGAAGGTAGGCGGTGGGGTCTGATGATAAGTCTAGAAAGAAATGAAAAACAAAGCCTGGCTCCTTTGCTCTGTAGTCTCCAGTAACTGCAGTACAATCCCCAGTGCCTGCACACAGAAAATAATCCAAACCCAGGCAGAGAGAATGGGGATTAAAGCCACCACAGAAGAGTCAGGGCAGCAGCCAGATAGGTGGACCAAGCCTGGTGACACCATCACATGGACAACACTATGCAGAGCAATTCTGAACAAGATGATGAAGCACAGGAGGAACTGACCCTGGGCCATTAAACCAACAACATGAACAGGGCTCCAGGGGAAGCCACCCCTAATCTCCAGCCAGAACTCCATGAAGTGGCCACATCCCAGAGAGGAGTCCAGATCCACAGCCAACACATATCAGTGAAGGGGTAGTACCAAAAGTTCCTTAAGGACTGTGGAAAGGCAGCTTGAGTATAATTGGAGCCCAAGATGTGCCTGAAATAAAGTCCTAAGAGACACGAAGGATAATCAGATGCCTATGAAGCAGTCTGATCTCTGTCCCCTGGAACCCCATTACACAGACTAACACAGACTCCCTGCTGCTCAGGCCATCACCAAGATACTCCAGGTTCTGCCCAAAGAGAAGGTGATGGGATAGCCAAAAACTCACACCAAGGACTTCAGCTTGCTCCAGGCCACTCAGTCTATCCCCACACCACTGCAGCCTCCCCACACACTCTTGATGGAGACGACCTGGGCCTCTCAGCCTGCCCCTACCACTAATGGAGCACACCCAGCTGCCTGAGCTACTCTACACCCAGGCCTGAGCAGCAAGAGGCAGAGGGGTGGGGACAGCCCACCTGGTTGGCAAGCGTCTGTGGTTTGTTCTTGTCGAGCTGTTTCATTCTCTAAGGGATGGAAAACAGTGCTGGTTACACTTGCAGCCCCTAGAAGAGGGGTGCCACCAGCCCCATTCCTTAGGGACAAGCTCTGTACCCCATATTCTAGACCCCTGAAATGCCCTGCTCCTCACCACAGGCTCACCTCAATGGCAGCATAAGCCTCCCGGAAAAGGTCCCAGCTTCCATAGCTGCAGTAGACACACCCCAGAGTCATGAAAAAGCAGAAAGAAAAGAAGTACCGGTGGTTATAGTGACCCACACAGTTGTTTAGCCAGGCTGGTGGGGAACCGATTAAGGATAAGTTCAAACACAATCTCAGATGACCAGGCCTTCCTGGGTTCATCCTTGGTTCAAGACAACAGCACTCAAAGAAGAACTGTTCCAAAGGCAGGAAGATGCAATGGTTTCCCAAGTTTGAGATGATTTTATTAGAAGTTTTTTAAGCCCTACCAGGGAATCGTGAAAACTGAAAATGTTGAGTAAAGTAAAATGAATCTGCCAATACTTGGCCTAGCTAGGGTTAGCCAAACATCTGAACAGGATAGAAGGGGACAGATGTTTTCATCCGGCACCCCTAACAGACCCACAGAAGCCCACATCTCTTTCCACTCATGTCTGTTAGTATGGCAAACTACAAAAGAAAGACCTATTTGAAGATTTCTTGCTTCCGGAAGATCCATCCCACACAGCCCAGGGCTCTCCCCAGAAGATGGCCAGCTCCCATAGCTCCTCTTTTACTAACTTCTTACAAACCCAGTGTTCTCTGCAGCATGATGCTAGAAGCTGTGGGTTTTGGGCCATTAACCCTATGTAGTGCTCTGGGGCTAAGAACTGCAAAACAGAAGACAAAAAGGATACGGCAATGATGATCCATCTTCAGCACACACCTGTGAGGGAGGGACACAGGCTCTGTTACGGTTACCAAGGCTCTTGGGATGTCAGTGCCAATCCTTTCCTACAAGGACCAGCATCCTGGTGAGGTGGAAAGGGCAGAGACTTTGAATCCTTGCTTCAAACCCAGCTTTTGCAGCTACATGATAATTGTCAGAGTCATCTCTCTGCACCTCAATTTCTACCCTATTCACAGGATTAGCCTGAGTATTATGATACATCAAAAATACACTGCATGGAACGTGTACTTTTTTTTTTTTTTTTCTTTTTCCTTTTTATCGGTACCGGGGATCGAATTCACGACTGCCTGTTTGCAAAGCAGGCGCTTATGCCGCTGAGCTAAATCCCCAGCCCCCCCCTTTTTTTGTCTTTTTCCTTTTTATCGGTACCGGGGATTGAACTCACAACTGCCTGCTTGCAAGAGCCGCTTATGCTGCTGAGCTAAATCCCCAGCCCCTTGGACTGTGTACTTTAACAAGTACTTGATCCGTGTCTTAGCAAACTCCAGTTCCAGGTTTTGTCCTAGGACTATGGCAAAAGGGTCCTCGCTGGGGTTTACAGAGAGCAGAGCTAAGACCCACCTATTGCAGATGCTGCAGTGGTGTGTCCGGGCTGGTTTGGGGTAAATGCACTTCTTACAGATGGAGACTGTGGCAATATCATTCCTGCCCTGTGCAAAAGGAGAAGAGCACCATGAGTGCTGTAGCAGCACTAGTTTTGTACATCCAAGATTCCAAAGCATTCTCTATCCCATTTCTGAGATGAGCTCTCACAGCCTACAGCTCTGTCTCTTTCCACTGCCCCAACAGAGACTCACCTGGGGTGGGTACCCAGGTGGAGTGGTGATGGCCTGGTAATAATGGAAGACGATGAGGATTAGATTCCAGTGACTGTAGAAGAAATGCCAGCAGAGTCGTGGCACTGAGTAGGTTCGGAGGATGAGCGGCAGGACACATAGATAGGCAATGGCCACAATGGAGCTGGTCAGCACGATCACCAGTACCACAAACACCTGCCAATACCAGTGAGGTCAGGTAGACACAGCAAGAAGCTTCACTCATAGGAGATGCAGAAATTTCTCTGTGGGTAGGAAGCTTGCCTCCAGAACCTAATATGGGTCCATCCCTCTGTTCCCCTAAAACATCCCTCTTCCTGCTGCCTGAGCATCACTTACCACCCCAAACCAGCGAATCACATTGTCCACCAGCCAGTAGATAGGTTCAAAGGCAGCATCCACAGCAGTCTCACCACCCCCAAAGGAGTTGTAGAGCATGGAGCGCAGGCAGACCTTGCCATAGCGCCAGCGCTGCACCAGGCTCCGGAGCAGAGGTGGGCAGCGGCGCCTGTAGCCCAG